TAAGGCGGAGAAGTATGGTTTTCTCGTGCGCCAGATCCAGAACTGCCCAATATATATATATATATATATATATATATATATATATGGAAAAGGCTATTGTTATTGGAATCAGTCGTAGTTCAGGGAAAACTGAGTTTTGGAACCAGTATCAAGCAATCACATACAGTTTTGAGAAATAAGAGATGTGGAACTTGTAATTAGGAGAAACTGGCCAAAATGCTTTGATTCCGTGAGACCAAGCTTAGATGTTTACCAACGAGGCAACAGCATAGAGGAAAAGAGAAGTTCAGTGAATTTCGGAAATGGGACAAAACAGTCTGAAGTTATATATTGTTCTGGAAGAAGACAATGCCGGACAACTCGAAGTGATATCCGAAAGAATCTCTGGTGAAATGCTTGGTATTCTAATGTGAGAACACCTCCCGGTTGCGCCTGTATTGGGTTATTCCGGATTGGCGGTAAGAATACAGAAGATAGAAGACCAGATGACGGAAGTACTGTCAGTCAAGCATACAGAGCTAGCACGCAGATGTGTAGGGTTGCTGACTGACCAAATATCGTCACTTGTCTAGCCAACGATGATGCGCCTGCCTTGACCATTTGTACACCTGCTCCGCTGGTCACTTTTCATTTGGTAAGCTCCCCTAAAGCACCTACTATCCCGATAGTGTGGTGACCGACGATGACCTTTGTGATGCGTCGTTCTTTGCGCATGTGACAACAATTCCTGTGTCAACTCAGCCAATGTTGTGGAACGTAGATTGCCCACTCAAACCCGCACTGGCGATGTCACCTTGACTGGTGATGAAGCGTTTGCAATCCAACTACCAGGCTCGGCAAACAGACCAATCAGTCATTTCCGCATTAAAATGGTTACATTGTGCCAAAATTACGGACGCCATTTGCTTCCAGGAAAACATCTGCAACGCAAGTAAAGCTTCACCTAAGACAGTCCAAACCGGACAATATCTAAAACTACGCAGTTTTCATCTACCTGCATGACTGCATTAGATAAGAAATTACAGTCCTCCATCACCACCAGTTAGATCGTTCGTTCTTGGACACTTGATTTACGAACTGGGCTCAAAAGTTTTCTACAACAATCAGATTGGGATTAGAGATGGCCAAGTAGAGTCCGGAGACTTGTCAACCTAGATCATATTATCTTCAGCGAACAAGATTGTTCTTCGAGACATCAAAGTAAGGCACGTAATAAACAGAATTGAAGGCATTCAAGATGTGGTGTACTTGCCACTGACTTCTGGAGCTTCGGCTACACTTTATCTTTGAATCCAGTAGATAGTAATCCTTGAAGAATGGAATTTCGATCATGCGGGAGAATTATACCGTCACTGATGCTAATGGCCTGTCCTGGAACAGACTGCGGATTATCTAGCCCCCTCCTCTCCGACTGTGCTAACTGGTAAATCATATGATGGTACTGGAAGTCGACATTACTCTAACGTTCCTCGAGTGTACAATGGCATATGGATTTAAGACAGCCAACCGATTTGTTTCAATACTCTGGTAGGCTTATCGACCGCACGATGTCCTTGTAGTAATCAGAAGTGAATCACGTTGTGGATGCACGTGCCTGAACGGTAGGCACTTTGAGAAGTAAATGTGTAATCTTCGTCTGCATCATCAAAAATTAAAGCTCGAAACCATAATTAGAGTTCTTGTTCGTAATAAAATCTCACATACAATTGGGAATTGGCTATATATATATCACATCAGTCAATCAGCATTAATCTTACTTCGTCTGCTGAGAAGCTCTGATAAACTGACCTAGGTCTGGGTTTTCACCTAATCTCTCGGTGAGTTTTAATCGTTTACGCTTAGAGAGGAATTCCGCTGCTTGATGTGATAAGTTGGACATTCTGAAGGACAAATTCACTTTGGATACTCCCATACCAAAAAAATAGCCATTTGCCCGAGGCTGTGAATTCGGCAAGACGATATCGACAGGCCTCTGAACTCCAATCAGTCGTGGAAACATCACATCACAGCGCGATTTTCATTTCCTTTTAAGGCCTGCTTGTCAGAATTTATTAGAACCTTAGCAAGAGGAACAAAGTATACACGCAAATATTTCGAATTAAGGTCCACAGAGATCTCGAAAAGCCCACTCAGTCCCCTAGTTTTTTTTAAACTCTCATCGGGGTCGGTTCGTTGAAAGTGTAGAAGAGGACCTAATATCGGTCTTCCGGAAATAAAGTTGCAATGATCCCTAGCTAACGAGAATACACTCTGATCATTTATGTGTGGATACATCGCTTGAGCCAATAAAATACATAAATTCGCGTTTGAGTTTGGGGCTGATGTAGGTTTGATGCACCATCACGCCAAAAGTACACTTAGAAGGATTTTTTGAGCGATATTGATGGACATAGTGGGGCTGTTACCTGGAGAGAAAGATGCATGAGCGAGACTGATTTTGGCAGTCTTGTGGAATGTAGGTAACTCGGGTGCGCTTCTTTGTTGTTGGTCTGTTCGCCGAGCTTGGTAGTTGGATTGCAAAGGTTTTGTCACCAATTGGGATGACATTATCAGTGCAGGGTTGAGTGGGTGAACTCCTATCACCAATCGGGATGACATCATCAGTGCAGGGTTGAGTGGGTGAACTCCTCCCCTTCTGCCTGTGATTATATGGCTTCTATACTGTACCAGGTCGTTTTGAAAGTGGTCTTCGCGTAGTTTGATTGGTCTCCTGTGAATCTGATGTGGTCTCAGTCCCTTGTGTCTAGTTGGTTCGTTGGACGCATTCAGTTCGACAGTTCTGTGTGTGGTTGTTCTGTTGTGATTCGGCCGTTTTCTTCTTGCTTTGTGGTGTGAGTTTGTTCCCTTGATTGGTTGATTCAGTGGCCTTCTTCCATTGATCCAATTAGTCCATTGGTTGTTGTTAGGTTTCTTGGCTCAGAGTCCCGTGACTGTGTAGCTTACACAGTAGACCGAAATCCGAGGTTGATATATTTCATAGGGCTGTTAGAGAAAAGCCAAAATAGAAGTTATTGGCATACACTGCGTTTGGGGTTGTTTGCCTAAGCTTATTCTCGCAACTTCAGTTGTTGGGTCTTTCCTTTGCTTCACTGTCATATGCTAATATCGTTGCCCCTTTGTTTCACACAGCTGAGAAAGATTGCATCAGAGTACTATGAAAACTTACCGCATCACACGTCTTGGGTTAAGGTGCTCTACGATTTTGTGATGCGGCCGGACATTGGACCATTTGCGAGAGTCTGTCGTCGGAGGCGAACTAATTTAGCTAATGATGATTCGTACGAAGAATAACACTTACGGTGATTAAATGGTCAGGAACAAATTGGAAATTGCATACTTCTTGTTTTGTTTTGTTGTTTTCACCGCAAACCGTTCAAGTTTTGTTGCCGGACGTGAATATATCTTTCTTGGTTTCATGACAATGGTTGCCGGAATTTTCCTTACTCCTAGGAATTGGCAATATGTAGATATCCATTACTTTTGCTAAAGTAAAGCGTTTCTCCTACAAACGAACACTTTCTAATTGGTCACTAAAGTATACCTGTACTTTTCTCTGCCCAACTTTTTGGGAGTATCCAAGACAAAGATATCGAACGGTCAAGAGATGGATTATACGGTTGTTAATTGGAAATCATACATATAGTGCTAATTTAAAAAATCTCGTTTGGTTGGATGTTGGAAGTACTAGCGTTTGGACTTGCTAGTTCCAATGGATAATGTCTGTATCTAGGTATGATTTTCATACGTTTCCACCATCAACCATTTCTTGATATTCTATACCTGTTATTTCTCAGAGACGAAACAAGTATTATTTCTAAGCGTCCTCATAACACCCTTTCTGCGCTGACCTTTTGAATTTGTTTCACAAAGCTTGAGTTTCGCTTCCCGTTCCAAGGTCCCGATTACTGGTACCTTCAGCGTCACATTATCATTGGGTGCATCGTCAAGTTTAACTTTTTCTGCAACTAACTGACCGTACGAAAATGCAGAGTCAACTGACCACTGACTGGCTTGGCTTAGTTAGCGTCACTAACACAAGAAACACAAACGCTGTTACACAAGTCCACACCGTTGTCTAGCTTCTTTTGCTCATTTTCTCGCTGTTGAAATTTAACCAGCATCTCCAGCGCTCGTTCCATGAGAAGCGATCTCTTACAGTGCAAACCGTCTTCATCTTACTGGCACTATTCTCACAACATGCATCAATTTCATCATGCATCGAACTGTCAACCACAGACTGCCAGTGGTCTGCAAGCTTGTTTTCACCTGTGGGGAAACTTTGAACAGTCTATTAGTTGCAATCCTTTTGTTCATCATTCCATTTAGGCCACGCCACTGAAATCTCACCACTATATTTAGATTCTGATCGTGGTACAAGTCACGAAACATTCACAGAAATTAGATTAAAAATCTCTCCTGTTTGAAACAGGGTCATCTGGTAACATGATGCCTCGAAGGTGGCGTTACCTCGTGAGAGATTCGTGCATCCGGGCTGTGTAGTCTCACTTAAATACTTCTTTGATGATCTTGTAAACACGAGTGATTAGCTTTATTCTTCATAAGAAATTGTGCCAAGTGATTAATGCTCTGGTTTGTCGTGCAGCGTGGCGAACACAATGAGGATCGTCGGCCTCACGTCGTAACAAACCCAGTTAAATATGAACAACAAGCGCGAAGCTGTGTGTATCAGCTGGAATAAATAACTCACATCCACGTAGTTCCTTACCTCCTCCATCAGTTAAGGATTCTGGATACATCAATCTTCTTGATCGGCGCTTGAAATCTGACATTTCGTTGAATAGCACTGTACTCTTGGACAGAAGAAACACGTATTCGAGCTTCGAGTAAATTAGGAGTGCTTTCCAAGATCCAATGCTCAGATCTAAATGGCTGCGCCGTTCTGCAGGTGTGGCTGCCATATTTTTCAGGGTTTCCGACAGTACCTTCCAGCAAGATTTAATATCGCGGAATCTATTATCCGAAACAGACTTTGGTAGGTGGTTCTGGTATGCTTGCATTATATCAGAGTTCTAGAGGTTCCCGGCGGCCAGGTGCGCATTTCGAGGGTTCCTAAAAAGCGTACCAATATGGAGTGACGAACAAGCGAGTAATCCGAATCCACAAAAGTGTTCCAGAACGAGCAACAACCAGCAACTAACCCATATTACCTACAGCTAATTGTGATGTGGTCTTTTTGTGTTGGCTGTTGTGTTGCATTCGGTGAGCATCAGATAGTCAAGCGGTTCTGGTTTTTTGGAAGTTATTACTGCACAAAAACAGTGTGTGTTAAACACAGTTATGTGCAGTAGGTGTTCGTATTTGTACGGGCGTCTAGATGCCAGCCCAAGACAACCACCCAACTGAGCCTCAGCAGAGCTAAATCTACCCAAACGAGCATTCCTAGCCTCGGTTACCAAAATAATATATGACCATTTATCCTGCTTCAAAAAGGGGTTCAAAGTGCCGTGTAAACCGTCTTTGAGATAATCGGAGCTATTCTGTTGAGGGTAGCAGATACAATGGACAGATCAAGATTCCTGGCGCCTTTAGTGTTTACTCCCACAGACGCTACCAAACAAACCACACAGAGGTGACTGTCATCGGGCAACCATTCATTCAAGCAGCTTTCACCTTGACAGTTTAAAACAAAGCCTTCAACCACACAGACAGCCGCAGCGGGCCCTGGGTCTTTGGTGATACGCAACCGGGAACAAAAGAAAAATGGTGGAGTCATTTCAACAGTCGTACATGGGTTTTCAACCCTCACGTCGGGGGGAGAGCAAATCAACAGAAAGCCAGTCCACCGTGTATGCAGTCTGGATTGCTTTAGAGTGCGAACGTCAAACGGCTCCCAAACGAAATAAGTACCGGGGTTTGAAGTGTGTTCTCAAACTGTTTACGGTCATGCTGGCCTAGTTAACCGGCTAGCGGCAGCTGGTAGCAAAGGGATCTGTCAGTCATCAGGAATGGAGATATCGTTGGAAACGCGATAAGGAGGGAAAGAAAGTATATGTGAAAGAGAAAGAGAGGAAGCTTCAGTAGTGGCCTTTTAGATTACCTTTCCTGCCGTATGCGGTAACTTGGGCGACTCGGTTGATGACGCCACGTGACCGATGGGGCACGAGGTGATTTGTAGATGTGCAGCTCACAAGGACTGGGATACTGTCAGGGCACCTAAGCCTCAACAGGATATTAGTCGGTTGTCAACTAATACTTGTGTCTTAATGACAAGACAGTGGTGGTTTACGTAAGATCGCCAGAGAGTACGTTGCTACACAAATCCCACCCCTAAACTGGAGGAACAGAGAACTGTTTTTCGAACATCTACCGTTTAGAAGCTACATGTCGTAAGTGCAATCCGCAGTAAGCTCTGTGGGTTATGAAGGTTTACAAACCGTCACACAGCGTTGAAGGCCGGTCATTTCATGACGGAACTATATGTCCAACTGCAATTCGGTCGTTTTTCACCACTACGTTCACGCAATTGAACTCTGAGAACAACCTCCACACACTGTGTTGAATCCGTCAAATTTTCACTGTCATTCTGAAATAACTTTATTCACTTCTTGACCTAGAACTACCAAGAAGAATCCATCGGAGATGTTTTAATAAACTTGGTCGTTCGACCAATAATCGAAAAACCTTCAGGGAAAATGTTTAACCCCATTGACAGAAGTATGCCTGTCGAACAGTGGGACAGTCGGAAATGAGACTTCTTCGTTCATCACCCTATTTGGCTAGTCTTGTTCTAAAGCTGAGAGAGAAATATTCACGCTCAGTCTAACGATTATGGAGGTACTGGATTATCTACTATTGTGACCACAGACAGGCCGATTTTTTTCTCGTGGTCACCAAGAGCAACGATAAACGCGAATTGTGTCAAATTCAGTAAAACCAAGTTTCTTAAAAGCAATCGATCGATGTTCAGCTGGTGTACAATAATACCGTAACCGCTTACTCATGAAGTTTCCGGAAACTCTTCGACAGCCCATAACCGGTTTCACTATTCTTAGGGCTCATCAGGTGGGCGCAATTTCCGAATTTCCGTCAGTCTTATGTTCAACACCAACCAAATTTCAACAGATCTCGAAAAATATTCTCGTTTGCGTATCAGCTGGACTTTCATGGGAAACTCAACTGAATATCTCTTTTATGATATCCATCAAATTAATCTGTTCTCAAGAAAATCAGGATCATAAAGGAGAGATTCAGCTGGGTTCCAGGCGAGTCCTCCGTCGAAATTGGATAGATGTGCGAATGAGTGTGTTTGTCGAAATCTGTCCAATTTGAGTTCAAGTAGAACATGAGGTTGACGGAATCCTGGGGACTCTACCTACCTGATGAGCTCCAAGAAGGGTGGAACCGATCGTGGGCCGGTCATTGATCGAAGAATTTTCTGCAACCTTATGAGTATTGTATTAGGTCTATACGATGTATTGCAACTGAAACATGGGTGGCCTGGTGCAGCATATTCAGCTGCTTAAGAAAACCGTAAACGGGGGATTCAGCTGGGCTCCAGGTGAGTCTCTTGTAAAAAACAAATCGCCATACAAATGGGCTTATTTGTCACAAAAATTACCCCGCTATGATCAAGTGTCAAGATGAGCGAAATATAGCTTATTTCAAAGGCGAGACGAAGACCCGACAGCGGAGCTTATTAAAAGGGCAGCATCCGTGCTCAAGCAATATTTGAACTTTGTCAAAAGTTCAATACCCGACTTAAGACAAACAGAGGTGGGATGTTTTGTGGGAGATGAAACTTCTCTTTGTGTGCAATTGGATATGGTAGCAAAAATGAACTGAACCAGCTAAAGGAGAGAGAGGAAGTTGTTGATAAACAGTTTTGTTTTTCTGGAAAACTTCAGTAGCGAGAATTACACCGAAATCTCTGAGAAATGGCGTCATTCCGTGGTCGAATCCACGGAGGGCAATACATTGTAAACAGAACACAAAAATTTGCCATCTCAGCGAATTAGCAATGACTTTGGCTATTTGGCAGAGCTGAGGCTCGAACGATTTACGCAGCAGGTTTTTTGGAACCATTTCATGCGGGATGCCCGATCTTCCTGAGGCCGTTCGCAGGAGAGCAATCCTGTCAGTTTTCTTTGGTCAACAGCACAAGGGAAACGTTTTAAGTGCAGCCTGTTTCATCCGTCAACCAATATTCTAGAGAATTGCAGCTGAGTCAACGCTAGCACTATGGTTTGCGCTCAGTCAGACATTCAAAATGGAGAACATTTTCCCGCCAAATAAACGTGATTAAAATTTCCATCGTCAGCATTATTATGAGG